CGACCGCCGGTCGAGCCGCGCGCCCCAGCTCACCTAATCGCAACACCAAGAGGTTTCGGATGTCAATGAAATCATTGATGTTATGATGAAACATTTCTAAGAAAAATGCCCTGGTTCTAATGTAGTACAATACGCGTTAATATTAGTTTAAAGTATATTTTACCTTAAACGTGACTATACGTGACTATCACCTTAATTCTATAGTCAAGGTTGAATTTACAGTTTAACGATATTACCACGTACAAAATAATCAGACAAGGTAACTGTACTGATTAAGATTTAGATTTATTTAGTCAAACAACCAAACAAACAAACAACAACAAAACAACAGTAAATACTCTATGTGATGTGTGGGGGAGAAGATCATTTGTGCATGTTTTCGTGATTTCCAAAACCCCTTTCCATTATTTTAACTATAAGAAGTAAAATTTCAAAATAAATAAATTAAAAAATTAAAATTACGAGATTAGCAATATTTGAAAAAATAGACATTTTCGTTTCCGAGTTATAGGAAAATTATTTGCATCGGTAAACGAATTGCAAGTATGATTTATCTGCATTGCTAACAAAATAGTAACTCGCCCTTACCTCTACTCCTACCATTACCAGTAAAAGGAGAGTTGAACAAAACGTGCGCATAGTGAAGCTACATTTACGTCCAGAAGCAAAACAAGAGGCCATTTCAGCATTTGCTCAATGAATCAGGGAAACTGAACAAAAACCTGATCGAGATGAGAAAATCACTAGAGAAAGGTTCGTCGTACCGCCTACGGATCGACAACAGTGAAAGTTGTCAATGACTGTTGATTGCGAGCAATCCACATATAAAATAGATACTGGAAATTTTATTTTTATCATGAGAATTCTTTTTGAAAATATCTATGATTCTGGGCAAGTATATCGATCTGAAGAAAACATCGGAAGCAAAACATAGATTTTATAATAACGATGTTTCTGCTCGAAAATATAGTTGTTTTAAACATGGATGCTGTTTTGCCGTCCCTACGCTCACCAGCGTGACGAGCGCGTCCACGGCGCCGGCCTCCGCCACTAAGTGCAAGGCCGTGTGGCCCATGGCGTCCGACGCCTCGTTGACGTTGGTGCCACCCGCCGCGAGGAGCGTGCCGATCGCCTGGGAATCCCCGCGCCGCGCTGCCGAGAGAAGCGCCTCGTTCGGCGAAGTAGGCAACCCGCGGGACAGAGCTGGCGCAATCTGATCCTGATGAGACTCTGCATTCGCGGACGATTTTTTGTTCAATTCTTCACATTCATCTTTCATCGCCATTGTATGATGGTTTGGTTCTTTCTTTGTTTCTGCGTTTTGTTTCCCGCAAGAAACCATTTCGGAGACCTGTTTGTCAGTGGTCCCGGCAACCAACATCTTTTCTTCGTCATCGCCAGCGGGGTTTGCTATGCTATTTGATTCTTCTGCTGCCGGGAAAGTTTCTGCCCTGCGCATTTTGCCGGCGATGCATTGTTCCATTAAGTCGATCATTCTAGGTTCCCTCATATCCAGGGCAATGTCCATGGGAGTGAGATCACCAGAGGCATTGAAACGTGGGTCAGCTCCCGCGTTTACCAGTAGTTCCGCCATTTCCGTGTCACCTACGAGCACTGCTGAATGCAGCAGTGTCATAGGTTTCTCCCGTACAATCGGTGTGTTGGGGTCTGCGCCCGCGTCTAGCAGGATCTTCAGCAATTCCCTGTGGAATTGAAAAAGTTTATGAATAGTGTACTAATGTACTACCTAGGGTTCAGGAAAAGTCGGTATTTGTCACATGTGTTAAAAAATACAAGAAAATGTATTTCTTTTGAATATTATTTAAAAAGGCCGTTGCATTTCGACTCCATCTGTTTCCATCGTTCCATAATCCTACATTACCTAGAATTTTTTAAAATTTAGATATTGTGTTCTCCATCTGCCGAGATTCATTCGATAGAATAAAGTTGTTTGGATAGGTGATTTGATACTGAAATGAGCCACGCTTCGCAGAGAGTTTTTATTAATGTTCATGTCTTCTTGCTAATTTTCTGCAAGTGATTTCAGTTTCAACGAACGAAATGGAATCTCTTCAGTATTCACGTTGTTAACGTCTTTTATTTATAAACAACAAAGTACATCCCATCCCACTTACCACCCCTTGCAAGACTAACACAGAGAATCCTTGCCCTGAGGATTCAGCCTACTTTGCCCCGAGAAAATCAAGATCTTCGAAACTGGAGATCGCCCGGAGCAGGTGAGTCGACAGATCTGCCATCATCATCAGCGCTCTGGCCTGATGCCCAACACTCTGCCACTACGCCCTGGCAGTCGCATGGGGGCGTTACAATATTGAACGTCAAATGAATGCCTTGAGACTTAAGTACTAACAAGGGAAAGCTACGAATAGAGGATTCACAGTTGGGGGAAAGATTTCAAAGTGAAATGGTGGGTATTCATTTGCAATAAAAACATTTATCATAAAAATGACACAATTTCTCCTTTAAGAGAGACACTAATGGGCAAATGAATTTCCATAAAACAATGAAAAATAATCTATAGAAAAGAAATTTAGCGCATGGATTCGAATAAGAGACCAGTGACTCATGAGTTATGCAATCGGGAGGTCTGGGTTCGATCCCCGGGCCGGCATCCTGACCGGGTTTTTTCTTGGTTAGCCATAAGGCGAATGCTGGGATGGTTCAAAAATGGCTCGATCACCTCCCACCACCGCACCTGCCAACACTCACCATCATCACCCCTCATTCATCCACCATCTCACCCAACATTCACCCCTCATGACCATATCACTCATTCAGCATTCCCTGCAAAAGCTAGGAAGCCCTTGCCCCTAATAGGATCTGAGTTGGATAATAATAATAATAATATTAATAATAATATTAATAATAATAATATTAATAATAATAATATTAATAATAATAATAATATTAATAATAATAATAATAATAGTAATAATAATAGTAATATTAATAATAATAATAGTAATAATAAAGACAACATGAAGAAATAGAAGAAAAGTAATAAGAGAATAAGGATAAATAAGAGAAACACAATAAGATCTCAAAAAAATAAAAAATAATATAATTAAAGAAGAAAAAGAAATACAAGAAGATTTCTTTTCTTTTTTCCTTCATCTTCACGAGAAGAAATAGAACAAGAAATAGGAGAAGAAGCAATAAAAGGAGAAGCAGCAATAAGAGAATAAGACAAAATTGGAGGATAAGAAGAGATAAAAAAACAAGAAGAGAAAGAAAACGAAATAAAAGAAGACGGAGAAAAAGTAATAGATGAAGAGGAAGAAACAGAAGACAAATGTAACGCTACAATGCTCGCTGTGCGTGGCTCACCCGCGCCGCTGCTTGGGCGCGGCGGCGACGTAGGCGAGCGGGGTGCGTCCGCGGGCGTCGGGGGCGTCGACGGGCGCGCCGGCCTCCAGCAGCGCGCGCGCCACGCCCGCCGCCCCGTCCTTGACGCTGGCGTGCAGCGGCGTCAGCCCCGCGGCGCCGCCGGCGCTCGTGCACGGGGCCGGGTCGGCTCCGCGCGCCAGCAGCCACCGCGCGAACGTCTCGTCGCCCAGCTGCGCCGCGTAGAACAGCGCCATCTTGCCCAGCGGCGTCTCCCCGTTGGCGTCCGCGCCGCGCGACACCAGCTGCTCCGCCACCTGCGGGATGCGCATTGCGGGTTGGCGGGCGCGGCAAATTCTATGATCCTTCGTGGATGTGGCGAATGGAGCTAAGACCAACGGTTTTGATATATTTTGTGGGAACAAAACTCA